TTCGACTCTCTGGAATGAAAAAAAAACGGAGAGAAATTAGAATAATAAAGAAAAAAAAAAAAGAATATAGAAAGAAAAAAACAATATATTACCGTTCATATTCATCAAAACAAAACATGAAGCTACCGCTGTTAATTTGGAAATTCTATTATCCCTGGCCATTAAGGTTCTGCGAAAAGAATATCTGGAACTACAGAATTATGGCCAAGCAACGATACCAGCTCATGCATGTAGCAGTCCAGTCAGGCAATCAACCTACACTGAACACGCGGTCCCGAGCCGAGTCGTGCAAAATATAAGTTCCAGGAATCTTCTCAACCAAAACTATTGATTCATGGAATAGAATAGATGTATGAGGGAGACGAATAAAATGCAATATGTATGTATCTCCTCGTGTCGTTTTCTTTCGCTTTTGTTTAGTCTCGCGAATGGGAAGGTAGTGTCCCGTGTTGATTTTCCCAATGAAAGCGGAGACAGAGAACACGTTAATGACAGCAAAAAGGGTGTACATTTTTCCCTAATGTGAGTTGCAGCAACGCGCTCTAATGTCAGCTTAAGGCGGAAGATAATGCGGCAAATTCAGTGTCACTATTGCACATCATTTCAACACGCAATACTATCGCAATATTATTCATTTTGAAATCATTATGTAAAAGAGTAACAGAAAAGAACTTGTAAGTCAGACACAGAAGACTTTTCATGAAAATGTATACAGAGCAGTCACACCCTGAGCATTATTAATGGAGCTTGGCTGGAAGAAGCATAGGCTAGGCAAGACAAATGCACCATAAATGTAGTTGGCGTTAGAAGAATATAGTGACATTAATACCTTTTTAACTCTTATTGACGAAAGAAAAATACATAAGAGTGAGGGATTTTCGCCTCATGGGTAGTTACGGTCGACATTTCAGCAATATATTTCCGCAGTAATAAACGCAAATGGTATTTGGGCGCAAATACCATTTGTGCTGGTATCAGAGGAAGTGATTTTACTTGCGATTTTGTTCCCTTGCCAAACTTACGTGCTTATATTGGACACACACATACACACACGCGCGCACGCACACGCACACACACACACGCGTACGAACACACACACACACACGTACGAACACACACACACACATATGTATGTGTATATATATATATGTGTGTGTGTGTGTGTGTGTGTAGATATAGATAGATATAAATGGATAGGCACATAGACAAAGGGGCAGACAGACAGACAGATAGACAGACAGACACACACACACACACACATACACAGACACACACACATATGCGTATCTATGTATGTATACAGCACATGTACGTAACTGGATCACGCAAACCCACATTTCATGCAGGCCATGAAGTTGGAGCCAGCAGAAAAAGGGCTTCGGGAAGAGGCAAAGCTTTCGTAAAATCCACAAATCCCGAGCGGAGCCGAAGCCAGAGCCGAGGATAAGCACTGTGAAAAATCTTCGTGTCGTGCCGAGGCCGAAGCCAGGGCCACGGAAAGAAAATATGGTCTAAGCCGTAGTCAGATGCACAAAAGTTATGATAAAGGGATAGTGATGACGGTGATGATGATGTTTATATGATGGTGACGATTATGTAGGGAACTTAGAAATGAGAGTAATAAATAGATTGATAATAATTGAAAGAATTATATCACTTACATGATACTGACCATGATAACGATATTGATGACACTGATAATTATTATTTTTGTTGTTGTAATGATCATTTCATTATCATTATAACCTTTTATCATTAATATTACTATCATTTATACTGTTATTATCATTCTTATAATTGCCGTTATTATCATCATTTCTATAACTATTACTTGAAGGGATATGATTTATAATAAAAGAAACTAATAATGATCGTGATATTGATACATGGTAATAAATATGAGTTACATAATAACAATGATGAATTAGTCTAAACTTTAATGAAAGTAAGTTATGATAATTATAATGATATTCTGATAACAATAAGCACTCACAGCCAAGCACACGTCAGTATATATATATATATTATATATTATATATATATATATATAATATATATATATATATATATATATATAATATATCAACTATATATCTATTTATAGACAGATAGGTATATATGGATATAGGTAGGTAGATAGATAGATAAACAGACAAACAGATAGATGGATCGATAGACATATGAATAGACAGGCAGAGAGATAGATGAAAGTATTGATAGAATAGAAGATGAATAGACAGATAGATAGATTTTTACGTTAATGGGTGAACAGATAGAATGATAAATAGAAAGAAAGATGAATAGACAGATTTTCACGTTTCTTACAAGGTGTCCAATCATATAAAGTCGCATTTGCAATCTTTATACTTATCCTGTTGGAAGATCGACGTCTGTGAGTCTAAGGGAGTTGCAAAATAAAGAATTATTGAATCCAACTGATAAATTGACCTGCCACTTGTTCAGACGCTCAAGATGCCAAAGCCAAAGTCAAGCTTGTCACCGAAGCCAAAGCCAATGTCTGATACACATGCACGCATAGATATGCATGATTAAATACGTACATACATGCATATATATATTTGTATACATATATACATGGACAAAACCACACACACACAAACAAATATGTTTCTATATATATGCATATATATATATATATATATATATATATAATATATATATATATATATATATATATATGTGTGTGTGTGTGTGTGTGTGTGTGTGTGTGTGTGTGTGTGTGTGTGTGTGTGTGTATGTGTGTATGTGTGTATGTGTGCGTGCGTGTGTTTATGTATATATGCAAATATATTTTGCCGCTGATTCATAACATGATTATTAGTTGATACATTAAATCATAAACATTTAGTTTTCGCAATATAGGATTTTTTTGTCAAATCACATAGAAAAAAAATGTCCTATCTGCATCAAGTATTTCTGAATGTTCTGCACAACATTTTTGAAGCCACGAAAAGCACAGACTAATCTTTAGGAAACGAATATCACGTTATGTCCACTGCTTAGATGTGCAGGACCAAAACCCCAGGCATTTTGTGGAATAAAGAATCTCCGGTTTGGAGATTAGTTCAAACTTTTTGATGTATGCAAATTGCATAGGTTAACCTTTTTAATTTTTCCTCATTAGCTGTAATTGCCAGTGGACGTTGCCCTGCATTCAGGCATTATGCAGGAATACCCTAACAATAATAGGTATACGCATGCAAATCACCGTGGTGATTTTGAAATAAATTACGTTGGCACGAAGTCAACGTATATATGCCATTGTACTGCTGACCCTATCGATGTATGAATATAAGTGGTAATTTTGAAATAAATTAAATTGTTATGAGTCAATGTATATATGCCATTGTACTGCTGACCCTATTGGTGTATGAAAACAAGTCGCTCTATTTTCATCCATCGACATCAAGGTAACGATACAAGCAGAACAATCACACCGCCGCTACTGTTACAATTAATGCCAATCTCGATGCAGTTGTAACAGGGCCACTGCGTCGCTATGCAGGTGCCAATCTGGAGTCACAGGCTTAATCCCGCTTCTCTCAGGCAGACTGTTTAGTAATGGACAGTGCCAGGATGTTGGGAGTCCGGATGCAATGGAGTTCGGATTAAAAGCTATCGTTTAAGCCTCGTTGGTAATGTTTTTTTTCTTTTTTTGTTGTTTCCCTTCTTGTGAGTTCTTCTAAAACGTATAAGTAGATCATGTGTATTTATTTGCTCTATATATCGAGACTGAACTCACATCTATATATGTATAGATATTATATGTATGTATATTTTATCTCTTTTTTACTTTTTTATTGATCTATTTATCTATCTATTGGTATTATTATTATTATAATTATTATACATGCACAGATAGTTCATCAATATGACTTGATATCACACAATTTTACTTGAATTAAACCCCCCATTCTCATTTTCTTTCACTTCGGGACTTTACATAAATAATAACCCAGCTACTACAATTTTCAAGCAAACTCAGCCACAGTTCTAACCACGCTACAGGAATACAAGAATGTCAATAAAAGAATTCCCTTTTGCTGAATTGCCGAAGAACATCTTAAAGTTCTGTTGGCGAGTGAAGCAGAATGATTATTAATCTGTCTGTGAAGAATATAGTAACTCGCTCAGCAACAAGAAAGGTTAATATTCATGATGATTCATATTATCGTCTCTGGTACTTTTTTCATTATCATTATCACTATTGCTATCATTATAATTGCCTCTATAATTACTTTTGCTGTCGTAGGATCAATCATCACTTTTATCATTATCATCATTGTTAATCAATGTGATTATTACTATTACTGTTATTCTTATTATTTACTCATTACTGTTTTTACTGTTCTACTTATTGTAATTGTTATCATTATCCTTATTAGTATTTTTATCATTCATTTATCTTTGTTTTATCATTGTTTTTGTTAGTAATAATATCATTATCATGGCAACTATCCTTATCAACGTTATCATTGATATTTTCATTATCATTATTATCATCATTATTTTCATTACTGTTACCATTATTGTGATCATTATTGTTATGATAAAAAAATGATAACAAAAATAAAACAATAATGATAATAACAACAACAACAATAATAATACTGAATATCATCAATATTACTATCACCATTATTGCAATCATCATCATTAATGTTATTATCATTATTATTATTATTATCATTTTCATTACCATGGTTGTTATTGTTAATATTATCATCATCATCATTATTATTATCACAATCAGCATTACTATTATCACTATAACAACAGTAATTATACTTTATTCTATCATCATCGACAGCTTTATTATTGCCAAAAACAGCATGAGTCTCTTTCCATTACTCTGAAAAATAAATTCACGTGTCAGCTTAAAGCAGCAATGAATATGCAGATCACGCTATTTTCAAAAGGATCCTCCAGTTTTGCAATCACACACACACACAAAGACATAACCACACACACATACACAA